TTGAAGATTTTCATATTTTCTATTATTTTTAAAAGATTCGTTAATTACGGAATTATTGAAAATAATTGTAACAATATCTTGATAATATTAAGCTACTAATTATTGATGTAAGAATTAATAATTTTTTGATTTAATTATTTAAATGCTATTATTAATTTATTTTAATTTATTTGTAAACTTGTAGATGTTCTTTCTGCTTTGTTTCTTATTTTAATAATACTTAATATTGATCAAGAACTCTTATAATATAAAATAAAGAACTATTACTTGTCTTATATAATATAAATCATTTATTGTTGATGATTATAATATTTAATATAAAATAAAGAACTATTACTTGTCTTATATAATATAAATCATTTATTGTTGATGATTATAATATTTATATTACTAATATAAAGAAAATATAATACAATAACAATAAAAAAGATATCAACCAATACTAGTAATTATGTTATTACAAAAGCTATCACTTTAATTAGTAAATTTAATATTACAATAAAAAAATCAAAAAATTCAATAATAAAGTTGAATAAAAAAATTGAAAAAAATTAAGGAAGAACTTCATAAACTCACTAAAAAAGACTGTTTTAATAATTCTAATTTTATTAACAAATTAAAAATATTTATAAATTTAAATATATATATAATAATATAGTCAAAACTCAATTTAATAATTATACAATTTTAAATAAAATTGTACTCTTGTTTCTATATTGAAATTGCACTTAATGAATAATTTTTACATATTATTAATTATTTAATATTGAATTTTCTTATGATAATATCGAAATAACTGATTTTATATTTAAACTTATCAAGTTTAATTTATAATTATATTATTATATATGCAAAAATTATAAAATTCACTAATATACTTGATATTCTGCATATTGCTGATAAAAATATACCAAAAGCTGAAGCTGAAAGAAAAAAATATTATTATTATCAAGAGAAAAGCTTGAAATCACAATCATTAATATGAGATCCTGTAATTAATAAATATTTTTATATATTATATATTGATATACTATACTTTTATATAATAATTTTATAAAATAATAAGTTTTTATTATTTCATCTTTTGTGTCAGAATATAAATTTAATATATTAATACTATCTATTACTTTGTAAAGTTTGCAGTTTATAATATAAAAATATGAAATCTTGAACTATTATAGTTAATCATATGACTTATATATAAATTAAATAATTCTAATTATATATATTCTATCTTTTAGAAGTATTATCAGGAACTTTAAATAAAGATTTTTTTATTCAAGAACTATAAGTTATTGTATTTGTTTTCTTTAAAAAAAATGAATTTAAATAAGAAGCAAAAAATTATCTTAAAAAAATCTTACACAGTTACTAAAGAAAAAGAGATTAAAGCAAAAGTAGTGATAAAAAGATTGCAGAACTATTTTCATTATTATATAGTTAATATATTATATATTAAAATAAAGAGTTATATTATTCAAAATTTTGCTTAGTAAAATCTATTTTTGCCTTTCTTTATCTTTTTATTTCATATTTAATATTTTTAATTATTCAATTATACTTGCTCTTTTGCATCTTTTTTTTTAATATCAATTATTAATATTGATACAAGTTTGTTCACTAATTGTTAAATTAGCTTACAAACAAAAATCTGAATTGGGGGAGGATATAAACTGATAAAGAAAATATTAAGAGAGAAAAGATATATTTAAAGCCTATGCCAATTTCTACAGAAATTGTGTTTACTTGAAAAGAAATAATAATATGGGAGAGTTGTGGGAGAGTAAAGGTCAAAGGGGAGAGAAAATAAAGAAATAATAAAGGGAAATTCTATATTAGCATAAAGCTTTCTAGAATTTTAAGGTAATATAATTAGTAATAACAATAACAAAAACTCTTTCACTTTGTTCTTCTCACGAGTGAGAAATATTCATTAATAATTAAAAATTCAAATAACAAAAAGTAAAAATACTTATAATTCAATTTCAATAATTTTAATACAGCAATTTGTTCAGCATAATACAATATAAAGCTCAGTAATTTAATAATAGTGATTTGTTCAGCACAATACAATATAAAGTCCAAAATTAATAATAGCAATTTGCTCAGCGCAATATGATATAAAACTGTCAGCAATTTAATAGATTCAATACAATATAAGATCACTTATATATAAAATTTGAAGTGTATAAAGAAAATATGAGAAACAAGAAGTATTTGAAGGAAGATTTTTGTTAAGAGAGATTTTTATTTTTAGTTACAACATGTCGAGTTAAGGCTCAGATAGCATCTCTATTTATACATTTTTCAAAATTACAAAAAGTGAAATGAATAATTATAAAAATATATAAAAATGAAATAACTAATTATAAAAAGTGAAATAACTTAAAAAAAAGTGAAAAGTGAAATTTTGAAAAAGTGAAATAATAAAAGTGAAAAATAAAAGTGAAAAATCAAAAAAGTGAAATAATAAAAGTGAAAAAATGAAAAGTGAAATAATAAAAGTGAAGTAATATATATAAAAATGAAAAATAAAAAGTGAAAAATAAAAGTGAAAAATAAAAAGTGAAATAATAAAAAGTGAAATAATACTAGGGGATTTTATCATTATATGAATATTTTTAGGATTTTCATGTTTTTTGATTATTTTTGAATTTGTGATTTTTATGTTACTACTGTAACACTATTTATAAAATTGAAAGGTTCAATATGTATTTAGTTGAACTTCTTTCATGTGACTTTTTATCTAGAAAACATCGATCAAGGTACGTACTTTGCTAATGGCCACCTAACAATTTTGAAAATGTGACCAAGTAAAAACCTTTTACATAATTTCTATAAGAAAATGCGCCTGTAAATTTCGATATACGTATGTAAAAGGGTTCGTTTTACAGACGTGCATTTATGTACTCAATTTACACGTAAAAGTACACCATTACAGAAATATACAACTTTTTCGTAGACATACAGGAGCATTTTTCTCAGATGTACTTTCATACATGTACATGTATACGTAAAGTTAATTCCCATACAGCAATCTAAAAACACTTCCCCGACCACCTTTTGATGCCAAGTTGATTATTATTTATTTCAGTACCTTCACGACACCAAAACGCATGCCTACTTTGTATAGTACATATCGCGGTGTTCGAGCATTGTTATGAGAACAAATTGTGTTTGTTGTTATTTTTATTGACGTCGTCAATTAAGAGTAGCCTAAAACTTCTTTGTAGAGCGGTTCATTATTTGTATTCATGCACACAAGTAAATAGAGAATTGATTCAAATTTTGCACATTAAATTTCCAGCTTACATGACAAACTTTTGTTATAGCAGATCACACTGACGAACCTGTATTATTGCGTGCTTTAATGACTGTTACTTTGTGTTTATGTCTCGTCTTTCATTTCAAGAATTTTCGATGTTTTTTTATTTATTCATAGCAAACATTAAATGCAAAGAACTTTACGTTCCTTTTTATAGTACATATTTACGAGTATATTTGATATAGGTTATCAAGTGAATTTGCTGGAGTTCATAATGTGCAAAAAGTATTTATTACCTTGTATATCAAAAAGAATTGATCCAAATCTACACAGATATCAAAATTCATCGTAATATTCGTCACAGATTCGAATTCGATGGTTGCAGTGTATGTGTGCATGTTTAGGTGAACCAATTTCTTGTTCATGTTGTTGTTCGTCCTCCGATTGATCACAAATTACTGATGATGTTGTTGATGCTGATGCTGATGAAGAAGCTGATAGTTTTGATTTGGTATCATCATACTGATTCCCTTGAAGAAGCTCGACTTTCTGTTGAAGTTTATCAATTTTTCTCATTAAAACTTGCTTGACATTTTTCTTTTCCTGCTGTAATCTTTCAACGAGATCTTCTTGCCTTTGAATCTCGTCTTGCAATTTGTTTCGGCGTTTTTCCTGTTTCTCAAATCGCTTTTCATTACGTTGTTGAATTTCTTCAATCTCATTCACGTGGTTGACGTAAAGTTCCCTTTCACGCTCTGATTGCTTTTGAATTATTGCTTCGAGTCGACTTACTTCCTGTTTCATCTCGCGATCCCAATCACATAAATTCTGAACTATAAGCTCGATGCCCCTTTTTTGAGGGTTATGATGTGTTGTGGTCGAATCTCCAAGGATTAAATCATGATTAAGGAAACTTTTCTCGTGTATGCCAAGTTCGTCATCAGCTGATTTTTTGAACATTGATTTTCGTAGCGCCCCACTCTGTTTCTCTGATGAAAGTCAAGATATTTAGAATCTGGTTTTAGGAAGAGAAAAAAAAACATGATCTATTTTACCTCTTTTTTCGAATTTCGTCCTCGAATATTTCAATCGACCATCTTCAAAGGTGAGATTTGGATTATTTACAGTACTATCGATGGATGAAGCCGATACTCTATTCAGTCTACGGTTATATTTGATGGCATACGCAATATTCTCATCGAAATCATCCACAAATCCAACAGTCCCATCGTCCTGATTTGTAAAGGTAACTCCAATGACCGTCAACACATTAATATCATCCCGATTAGCTTTCAAGAAAAGATCCCTATACTTTTTCGCTTGTTCATCAACTTTATGCAGTTTATCTAAAATAATATCTTCTGAATTCGAAGGTGAAATGAATTTGACCTCCACAACCGCAAAACAACCACACCCATCGGTCAGTATAAGATCGTTTTGCCCGAAATCGTTGTGGCCGGGAACCGGTTCCCATTGAAAGTCGTAAAGATAATGGAATCCCGGTAAATATTTTTCCGTATCTTCGAAAAATTTCTCTTGCCATCGTGCTTCACTGAGATTATTAAACGCTGATTTGTAGAGATGCCAATTGTCACGTTTTTCCGCGTCTCGATCAAGGATTTCTTGTGGTATGTTAATGTTATTCTCGTCATCGTAATAGTTGTTCAGTTTCCGATGACAATAAATTGCGGCTTCCAAGATCTCTGGGGTGTCTTCGTGTTCCCATTGGTATTTGATAGTGCACGGGATGGTATAATCGACTTTCAGATCGGATAGAAATGGCGCATGCAAACGAACAAGAAAAAAGATCTCATCCTCTAATTCAGAATCGCTTTCGTTTTTTTCCAAACCATCATCTTTGATTTCAAATGAGAAATGATTCTGCTCGATGCTTATTGCTTCGAATAGCAATTTTAATTTTTGCCGTTGATCCTCCGCCAAAATAGAATATTGAGTATCGGCGAGTTGAATATTCATGGTGGTTTGTTTTAATATTCGAAGTTTGTTAAGTTTGTTTTCGAAAAGATAAAAATTTGTTCTCAAAAAAAATTGTTTTTCGGAGAGAAGTTTGTTTTTGTTGTCCCTGGATTTTTTTATAACTTATAATGATAATAAAGAATCGATCGACTCCATACGTATTTGTGTTCATATAAGGCAATTGCTAGCATATAAACAAAAGCAACCGACTGACGTTATGTCGATAATGATATTTATAAGTTTCGTGAAATTAGGTCATTGTTCTGGAATTTTTTCTCCGTCTCAGCTCTATTTTTGGCGGTTTATCATAATTAAATATTTGTTTTATATCCGAATTGCGACCAACACGCTTTATATTCTTTATAACAATTTTGCTTTACTCATGTTTTCTAAATTTCCACTATCGTTTCACCAAATGTCCGGGCATGTTGAAGGAAACACAATAAGTTTGGAGGTACGGTTGTATGAAGATTGCTTTTGAAAGCCTCGGTTTAGATTTCTGTGAACTGTACACTTTATCTTTATCCAAGTGTGATCATCTCGTGTACCCGAAAAATGTAGTTTCTATTGTTGTATACACATTAAATGACTTCCGTGATCGGATGTTCGCCGCGTGTATATAGTTGCGGACAAACGTCTCCGTTTCAGCGACAAAGAACATGTACGTATAACGTTGCATTTACACACTGTGATTGGTCACATTCTGTTCTGAATGATGATAATGCGATGCTTCGGAATTATTGATGGTTGTTTTATTTTCGTTATTAATTACATAAAAAATGTGAAAATGGTCGTAATCAATACTATACCATAAAGGAAAAGGAATGTCACATCGCTTCTAATTTTCTACTAAAGTCCGTTCAAATAAAAATTAAATTTTCAAGACGACAATTCGAATTATTAGTTTTTGTGTAATTAATGTAATTAATAAAAAATAAAGTACTTTTTCTCTAAATACATTAGCGTGGGAAAATATACAATTAAAGAAACATAAAGTAAGAAATCATGATAAGAAAATTTTTAATCCGTGATAATTTTCCATTTATGGATGTCGTTTTTTTGTTACGACCATTTATTATCATAGCTATGCGACCGTCGAAATCCATATTTGCTCATTTGTGATGATGTTGATGATGTTGTTGATGATGTTGTTGATGATTGTTGTTGTTGTACATTTAGATGTCTGCCGTTACTTCCATTCTGACTATTATTGGTCGAGACTTTTTTCGCGTGTATTCGAAAATAAGAACACGTAGTTCGATACTGGAAAAATTCCGTGGACAGTCGATTAACATGATTGATATACTCTTGTTCATTCATTTCCAGTATTGATGCCAGGTTTGGAGCAATAGCTCGATCTCGATACACATTTAAATGATTTTGTTGCATCTTTGATGAGATGATAAGAATTAGAAATACGTACAGTAAGAACTCGGTAGCCCGCCAAGAAATTAAAATACTCACTGTTTCACCTAGATTTCCACCCCAAGTACCGATAGCAACCGCTTGTTCGTCGAATTTTATGTCGGGAATTGCGTTAAGATCTCGCAAGAATCCATCCAAATATGGTATTATTGAATATGATTTTCCCTTGGATTCGATATAAGTTACGTCTAACCCGATATGAAAGAATATTGATAAGTACATGTAATCACAAATAATTAACGTAATAAATAAACCTTACAAGCTCGATGAATTTTCTTTGTTACAGGTCCGGCTTTACTGTATCGAAAATCCAATCCAGATATCTCCACATAACCACCTGGTTTTAATACTCGAACAATATCGTATATTATTGTTCGCCATTCGTTTGTTGTATATGATGATAACATTCCCGATTGGTGTACATAATCAAACGTGTTTTCAGGAAACTATAGACAGAAAAGTCAATCGAGATTATTAATCATCCGATGGATAGATTCAATCGATCGTTTCTTATACACTTACTGGAATTCCATCTAAAACATTACATTCAATAAACGCGGCATTTGATGGTGTGTCTTTAGGAAATTCAGCTGTTTTACCGTCTAGTCCAACAAGCACAGATTCTTTAAATTCTTGAGCCATTTCTAATATCCATGCGCCTGACGAGCATCTTTGAAGGAAGCGAAGAAATCAGATTTTGATGCGACTCTCAAAATCAAAGCAAATTGTTCAAGTAAATTTAAAACTCACCCAATATCCAAAATTTTACTTTTGCCTTCTTTTAAGAGAAGAGAAATTGGAGGTGGCGTCAATGACTTCCACACTTCTTTATTTAAATCATGGAAAAATGACGATGTGCTTTCATTCTTATCAAGCTTCATTAATTCGTCATATTGAAATAGTTGAAATGTCAGCTCATCAATACTATTTATTATCTGTGGCCCACAAGCAATATGCACCTGTTCATTATCTGATGGTATTGGTGGAGTGACCGGACTATTGGATCGTTCGCTTGATGTAAAATTACTACTCCTCGTACTTATACTGCTACTATTACTTGTAATTGTATCTCGTCTACCTAGACTTTTCCAGCTGAATCCGCTCATTATAATTTTTTTTATTACGAAGACACGCGCGCGTGTATTTTATATTGGGGAAAGAAAAGGATTTTCTTTTTTTTTTTTTAGGTATTGTTCGGTTAAGAAATGAATAAAAAAGTTCGTGTGCGGTGTGTATAAAATCAAATTGTCGTATGACTTTTCGAGAGTAAATGAGTGGTGGGTGGGTAAGAATGAATGAAAAAATTGATTTATTATTATAATAATAACGCAATTTTGTGCATGTCTATCCAGAATTTATATATTGTAAACGTACACAATGACGGGGAAACACGAGTTTATATCAATTTTTTATAGAAAATTACGTTATTTGCGGGTGTGCGTAAATGAGGTATTATTTACGATAAAGTAACAATAATATGTGGAGAAAAAACAAATACTGTAATTTAATTGATTTCAGATCATCTTTCGTAGATGTACATGTACATGAACATGTACATTATTCTATGTGAAATAATAATAATGTCGTGGAAGGTAATACTGCTAGCAGCAGCCTGTCTAATGAATTCTAAGTGGTTTACGGTAAAATTAAAATCAATTAGCCCAGAATTTTGTTATCAACTTCGTTAAATCCTCGAATGATTTTTTCATATCAGACAAACAAAAAAAAAACACGAAACAGAAAGAAGAATGCTAAGAGTCGGTGAATTAGCACACGTTTTCTATTGTTCGAATTCCATTTCATTAATAATGTCGATGTCAATAAGAAATTCCCAAAATAGTTTACAACGGAAATCACATGTTTTTCACGATTTGATATCATCTATCACCATGAATGACACACACTAGTATAAAAGTAGATAAAATAAGTGGATACGCATAGGGTAATTCCCTCGAAGCGAAGTTAATTATTCGGCGTATTTGGAACAGAGATTAAAAACACGTACATAAGGTTATTTACTCGAGGTTCGTCGTTTCACATAGTGCTATTCACCATTTCTAAAAGACATTGAGGATATCGATATCATTCGGAAAAACGGATAGAATGATTGGGTAGAATTCACAGTATTACGTACAATCAAAAAAAAATAAACGCCGAAGTTGGCGCCCGTCTGTCTCTTGATAAATCAAACAAAAAAAGATAAGAATGAAGGAACCCTTGTTTTATTTTAATTGGTGCTTGTTTTTGGCTACCGTTTGTATGTATTACGGTTTTTTCTCTTTTCAAGAAGCTTAGAAATTAGCATTTGTTGAGATATGTATACATAGATGCATAATACAATATTGTATATCAGTATTGTTTCTTTTCGTCGGGCTATTACACAAAGATAAACCATTTTCCGAGTACTAAAATGCATATACTAACGAATAATGTCATCTCAAGGTAATGGATAACATAATCTGCGATAATGAAATGCCGTCCACTAAGATAATGAATAATGGACATACAAAACGGAGTCGTGTCATTTTACCATTATAAATAGGAAGCAGCACGTTGAATAATATATATAATCGGCAGTGAATGTTTTTTTTTTGGATTAAATAATTGCAAAACGTCATTTCTATTTTCTTTTCGATTGTTTAATTGTTTACGTGTGAGAAAGAATTTTCATGTTGTTTATTTGTTTCAATGGATAAAAGTAATCTTTTTAGCGTTAAGATCTATGCAGCGTGTTCAAATAAATATGTATGTACAATGCATGTACATGCGTGAACTTGCAGTATGAATATAAAAGAAGGACAAAGAACTATGACAAAAGCAAATTCTTTTACTTTGCTAAATAAATCAGAACAATGGGAGATATTCCTTATTGAACGAATTAATTATCATGATAGCTTTCCCTGGTTAACTTATTTCCCTGGTTAACTTCTAATTGTTGCTTCTCTGGCTTTGCTATTTCTATCATCAGATACTTGCTACATGTAGTAATGTCATACAACATAAAATTTATATATATGGCACTTTACTCATTGTACTTGTGTATCAATTAAGCTCGTATTTTTTTTTTTGCTTCTGTATGCATGTGATATGGTCAGTGCTAGTGAGCATTACCAGGGTACTGTTCGTCCAACGGACTGGTGTCAAATCATGTGTTCCAAATTAAAGTTTATTATGCAATTTTTAACCATTTTGTGGTACATGTATTAGAATTAATGTTAAAAATAGATTTCTAATACTCTAGAAGAATCTATAACTCATTAACAAGGTGACGTTTGCAGGTTGATATGACTGTATTACGGAAAATTCTGTTAAAAAATCAATCATGGTACGAAAAAGTCCAGTTTTAACGTTAAGGTTTTACGCACGTATAAAACTTTAGTTAGCAATAAACGAATTAACTAACTACCAAATTTTGAACTTAAATAAATGATAGAGATTATATTGCTATTTTAATATAGTATTAATTTAGTTTTGCTTATGGGTTTGTTAGTTAGTTATTTCAAGTACTGCAAAATAGGTAAAAACCAAACTAGAAGTCGAATATGTGCATACGCGATTTTACGTGTTTATATGTCCGTAAAACACGCAAAAACTCACACTTTTCCAGACATATTATGTGCAACTTTTCTTATAGCCTACGTATTCCGAAAAATCAATGTTACCAAAATTGCTGCTCCAAGCGCAAGTGTGACAGTTGTCTGCAAATTGACATCACGCAAATCTTAATCTGATTATTTGTTTTGTGGTGCGACAAGTGAGATAAAAATTGATTAATTTAGACAGAAATGGTGAAGTATTCCCGCAATAAAGCGACGGTCTAGAATCTTTAGACTACTTAGATTGGATAACGATCATGTTTTATTGATAATTGCTTCCACATGAATACCACAAGTAGAAAAGGGTTGGTACTCTAGTGGTGTTTAGTCAATTCATTGAATTTAGGAGAAAACCATCTAAACCTCAACAAAACCACTAGTGTACCAACCCTTTTCTACCTGTGTAATAATATATATATACGTAATCAAGGTTTTTCAGCTTTACGAGTCGAGTGGTTCTCGTTATAACGACAGCTTGATATAATGATAACGAAATGTTTTCTTTACTTGCATGCATGAATTCAGAGATTTTAATTGGAAAGCCATTTTAGAAAAGGACTTTGGTTTGTTGCTTTTAGTCTTTTAGTGAAGAAATTAAGTTGATCTTAGGGATTGGACGATGGAACAAATGTCATCAGGGTCTCTTACTCGACTTATAACTTGTTGTTCGAGTCAAATTATGGCACAGGTAATTAACCGAATGACTCGAGTACAATATTAAATTCTGTTTTGCTATTTGTGTTGGTATCAGTATGTTTCAATTCCGGTCAAAATGTGGCTAATGCTTATCGTGATAATTATATCTTCTAAGCAACACGTTTTTTCCGACACTTATTTACTTGAAAAGAAGAATTTTGATCGTTATCCGTTTCAAAATACTGTATTACACGGAAATAGCGTAATTTCGATCTCCCTTCTACGTGGAATTAATAAATACAAGTACGTAATTTGAATTTACCCGAGTTATTGTAACACAATTTCTGCTCGAGTTACTTGCAAAGTACGTACATGCAACCAATCCCTAGTTTATTTGAGCAAAGAAATAGAATCCTAATTTTAATAAACGAAAAAATCTATTTTTTTATATTATTAAATATAAAACATAGATTATCACTAATTTTATAGTTTTCAACTATCCAAAATAGATCATTGAATGCTATATATAATGACCATATCGATATCGATATCGATATGCGCGGATTTCCACAGTCGACTTAACACTTGGCAAACTCTAAATTGTTTTGGGAGTCAAATCAGCCCATACGCAGATTGGAAACTGGTTGCGCAGATAATGCGCATATTGAGAAAATTTTGCGCAGATTATTTTTCAGAGTAGCGGTAGTAATCAAAACATAAAAACCACCTCATTTAATCTTTTGACAGACACTATACCTAAAACTACTCTTTAGTAAGTAACTATAAAGATAGAAGATGATTTCTTGGAAGTTTAATTAGCTCAAAACATTATAAAAGTATTCTGGTTTATCGCTAACGATTGATATCAATACATGTATTAACATCCGCAAATGGAAGTTCTATATGAAGATATGACTCTTTTTTAGAATGTATGTTATGCACGTGTTTAATGATACATGTGAAAAACATCCATAACAAACTAACTTCCTTCAATTAGTGATATGGGTCACCATATTTTTATCGACCAGCCTGGTTATTATAATTTTATCAACCAGGTTGGCCGGGCCAGTCTAGTATAATTTCTAAAAAAGGAAATATCAAAATTATA